GCCTGCTCTTCTTGTTTGTGGCTGGAGATGTCTGTGCCCAGGGCAGACTGGCTGATTCTTTGTGCTGCAGTGATCGAGCATCATTTTCTGGGCTAAGATAAAAACTGTAATAGGTTCTTTCCCCCAGCCACTGTTACCCAGACATCTAGTCTGCTTTGGGTGCTGTGGGAATCATGACTTACTGAGAACAAGCTAGCATGCTAGCACCAGCTTTTCTATCATTCCTGCTAGGAGTCTAAATTGGTGTGTTTCATAATGTCTATATATGGCAAGAGTCTGTGCTCCTCCTTGTTTCCCTTCCAACAAGACAAAGAAACAAGCAAAAGACACAAGCCCAAAACACAATATTTCGATATTACAACAAAAGTACAGAGGCTGCTTAAGCCTCGGTTGTGGCAGAAGATCCCAAAAAGGACCTCCTGTTCTTTAATTTTCTGTCGAAAGACACAGGCCCAAAACACAATATTTCGATATCACAACAAAATTACAGAGGCTGCTTAAGCCTGGGTTGTGGCAGAAGATCCAAAAAGGGACTTCCTTAATTTTCTGTACAGGCACCTTCTCCCCCCCCCTCCCCCCGTTCTTCTAGCTTAGGGAACTCACTATTCAAAATCGGGTTTGAGATATAGATATAGGGAAATATATTTCCATTGACATTCTCAGGCATAATCCATCATTTCACAGTGTATGTTTTATGCCTGGTAATGGCAACAACAATCCCAGTAGAGTGCGCCCATCTCTCTCCCAGCCCTTGAACCATGTTCCTAGGACAGCATGTGGCCAATGTCCCATTCTTTTTTTGAGCAGTGAGTTCAACATTTCACATGAAAGCCACTACTTTCAAGACTTCGCCACTTTCCCTCCCAATTTACTTTCATGATGAACATCATAATTTTTACATCTTTTTTGGCTGGTATGACCTTTGGAACTTGATTTTTGCCAATATGACTAACTTTGCTTTCCAAAGATGCAGAAGCACATGAAGAAAGACAGGTACAGTTTAGAAAATAACTCCAGACTGCAGTTGGAGGCCATTTTAAAGCTTTTAGGACATATTTCTTTTCCTAAGCTTCTTTTCCACAGTTCCTTTCCATCATTGTGTGTGTCCTTTTGTCACAAAGCAGAAATTAAATGCTAACTGCAAAAATTAATTAGCTGTGTCCATGTTACGAGGCATTCAGGATTTATCCAAAACATCGTTTACTCTCTTTTATTCAGCCTGTCCTCTAGCTCATTTCCCCCTTGACATCCTTCATTCTTCTCTTCCCTTGCACTACACTTTTTCCTCCTCATACACTGTCTCTGGAACATGGCCTTTATAATAATTCCTCCCTGAATTTGCTTCTTCCTGCACTTGCTCTGAAACTAATTCAACAACAGGTGTGACCTCACTGGCTCTTGTCTTCAGTCTTCTCTAATTTTTTTAAGTTAAATAGTTCAGGGGGTCATTTGGTCTGAAAGGACCCAAATCACACACAACAATATTACCACTGATGATATGGCAGGAAGTATATGGCATGGCATGCCAATTTTGTATAAACTTCAGATGTGGACATTCTGAAAGTGCAGTTCAGACCATTCCTCTGAAAGAATTGACTGTTGCCTAGCTGGATATTTCAACAACAAAATTTAACTTCTGCTTGTTTTGTGTCTTTATATATTCATGTTCAGTAAGCTGCAAAAAATGGAAGGCGCAGGGCATTTCAGAATTATTAAACACTATGCCTTATTTATTCATTTAATTTACATTCCATCTTTCTCTCAATGCTGTGTCCTAAGGTGGTTACAACCTAGTCAAAATTTGGCAGAATATAATGTGCAGCTGTGTATTTCCACTTAAATTGCAGCAATAATCTCTAATTTGATGATATATGCATAAGGTAAAGGTAAAGGTTCCCCTTGACAAATGTCCAGTCATGTCTGACTCTAGGGGGGGCTGCTCATCCCCGTTTCCAAGCCAGCAAGCCAGCGTTTGTCCGAAGACAGTTTCTGTGGTCATGTGACCAGCGCGACTCTACACGGAACGCTGTTAGCTTCCCACCATGGTGGCTACCTATTTATCTACTCGCATTTGCATGCTTTCAAACTGGTAGATTGGCAGGAGCTGAGACAAGCAACGGGAGCTCACTCCGTCACGTGGATTTGATCTTATGACTGCTGGTCTTCTGAACTTGCACCACAGAGGCTTCAATACCCACAGCACCACCACATATATTAGTTTAAATTAGCATGTACAAATTTAATCCAATGTTTATCGATTAAACTTATTATTTTTTGTGAAGAACATCTTCCTTTTGGATTTTTTTCCCTCCATGTCCTTGGTGATGTCTATCCTCCTTATTTGGTAATGGAGCAGTGGCCGTCCAAAACAGTGCAGAGAAGTACAGTTCTGGCCAGACAATGGAAAAGTACAGTTTTTTCAACACTTTCCGTGGCCCTGTTCTTAGAGCATACCCCAAGAAGCACTAGCATAATATTATTTGCATGGAAACCAAAGGACTCTGTTTGGCACCAGCAAAGAAAAGTGGTGCAATGACTTGCTGTCTACATAAGTGAATTATAATATGCAGGGATAGGGGATAATCAAAAGGCAAGATAATTAATGTGCCAGCAGAACAAAAAAACTAACAAAAAATAATTAGACTCCAGCAGAAGAACTTATTTTTTGGCTGACCTTTTCTCCTCTTTTTGCCTGATTTTACCTTTGGTAGAAAACCTAACCAAAAAATAATTAGACTCCAGCAGAAGAACTTATTTTTTGGCTGACCTTTTCTCCTCTTTTTGCCTGATTTTATCTTTGGTAGATTTTGTCTGTTCTGGAGCTTTTAGGCCTTAGTTTATCTCTCCCCCACCCCCACCCCCACCCAAGTCTGTGAGATTCTTAATGGTTACTTCTTTTTTGAGATTCTCCACCTCCCCAACTATAGTTTTTGGTTTGTGATTTTTATACAAAGTTTTTCCTGGGTTAGATTTCCTTTGGTAGATTTTGTCTGTACTGGAGCTTTTGGGCCTTAGTTTATCTCTCCGCCACCCTCCACCCAATTCTGTGAGAAGTTTCTTTTTCTTAATGGTTACTTCTTTTTTGAGATTCTCCACCTCTCCAACTATAGTTTTTAGTTTGTGATTTTTATACAAAGTTTTTCCTGGGTTGGATTTTGGGCTCAAAGAAAGTTTTAAATACATCCTGATTTCTAATCCTCATTTTTTTTTGTCATTCTAATTTTATTTGTACAGGTATTTTAATTCTTGTTGAGTCTGACTTCACTACTTAATTTCACATTTTCCTTCTATTTCTCTCTGCATTGATATTCTTATACAAATTTTCCTGGATCAATAAATTTCCACACTAATCTTCGTCTTCAGATGAGAAGCAACAGGGGTGCTTTATGAGGGGCTAAATGTGGCTATTTTTGCCTTTTATAACTTCATATGGTGCTTTAAGTTGTTCTCCATTGCACCTTTCACTGGCTGAAATCCGGTTGCTTTGACATAGATGGGGAAGGCAAGCTGCATAATTTTCAGCGCCTTATAGCTGGCGGTTCGAAAGCATGCAAATGCGAGTAGATAAATAGGGACCACCTCTGTGGGAAAGTAAACAGCGTTCCGTGTCTAAATCACACTGGCCATGTGACCACGGAAAGATTGTCTTCGGACAAAACGCTGGCTCTATGGCTTGAAGAGCGGGATGAGCGCTGCCCCCTAGAGTCGGACACGACTGGACAAAAATTGTCAAGGGGAACCTTTACCTTTACTGCCTTATAGCTGGCAAAAAAATAAGTACCTTCTCAGATTCTTGAGTGTGTATCAAGCCAGCGTGCATCTTGCCCCCCAAAATCCCACTGATTTCTCAGTCATCTGCTGAGATGTAAACAAACATATTACATTTATTTCACTTATGGACAGTCTCAGGTCATCTCTTGTTACATACTCTTATGCAGCAAAGCAAACAGAGAACCTCCTTTTGAAAACCTTATTTAAAATGGTGAGGGCAGACAAAATTGTACATTCATGTACACGTCTCCCTTCAACAACACTGGGACTAGGGGCATCAGTTCAAAATCTGTTTATAACTCTTTTGCTGTCCCCCTCAAATGTAACTGCAAAGCATAAACGGTTGATTCACACAGAGAGAGACCTCTCCCGACCTGTGTCAGTCTCCAGGCATGCCCAAGCACTGGACCCACCATGCCAGGAGTGGTGGCTGTGTCCGGCTACTGCCATTGAGCTGAGCCACTACACTGCCAGCAACAAGGTCCTTGGTAAGTCCAAGACCCATCTTTCTCAGTCCACTTCCTGGAGACAAATAGCAGTGCAGTATTTCTTGGGTATGTATGTATGTATGCATGTATGTATGTATGTATGCATGTATGTATGTATGTATGCATGTATGTATGTATGTATGCATGTATGTATGTATGTATGCATGTATGTATGTATGTATGCATGTATGTATGTATGTATGCATGTATGTATGTATGTATGCATGTATGTATGTATGTATGCATTCATTCATTCATTTGTTTGTTTGTTTGTTGGGGAAATCAGTGTATAATCAAAAGCGTGCTGTTCAGACCAATGTAATTCAAGAGAGAAGTGGTTTATTAATTTAAAATATATTCTATTGTACTTTTGTTTTTGTTTTTTTAAATAACCCAAAATAATCTAATACACATTAATGTAAAGTGGCTGGAACAAAACTTGAAAATGTGAACAAATAATATCAAAACATGTTAACTGACAAAAAATAATGTAATGGTGAAACAAATATGCCACATACTCTGGAACCCACAAAGCAAGAGAAAAGGAAAAATATAAATCATACCAAGAAAAATGTCTGTAAGAAGTCACTATTGTACAATATGCTGGTTTTTTTTATCTATTCAACTGTAAGTAAATTGAACTTTTTATTCTACCTCTTACCAATGTCTCACAGTGAGTTACTGAAACTATAAATGCCAGTTGATGAGACAATAAGGGGTGGTCTTCTCTGGGGAGACTTGAAGCTAATTCTGTTCTTTAAGTCCCTGCACGTTGGCTGCACAGTTAGGGGGTTTTAACCAAAATTCAAAACTCTGTAACATTATGGACACCCATACTGCAAGTTAAAAGTATCCTATAAATTCTAATAATTTTTAATTATTGAATAAGCATTTCCTTGTGGAACTTGAGAAGTTATTGTTGCAGTTCCTCACTCAAGCAGCTGAAAGTAAAACTCTCTTCTTTCTGCTGCTGAGACATCTTGATGTGGTTATGGTGTGTTTCATTTTTTCCAGTACACATTTTTTCCTCCCTAAAGGCACAATGTTTTCCTCTGGAAACCATGGTATAAAGTTGGCATCCTCATTTCCTCTCTCTCTCTCTTTCCCCGCCTGTACAATCTCCACCCTGACCGAACGTCTTCCCCTCCCCAGTCACATGAAAAAAGGGAAAAAAACTATGTGCAAGCAAAAGAAACTGCTGGAAGCCAACACATCTGCTCTTTTTAACAATTTCTTCTGATAGCAACAATTTCTGTATCTGATCTCATCCCCCCATCCCCATGTGCAAGACCTGCAGACGAACCAGAAGTTTTGCCATCCCAGAAGTAAGTGCCGCTTCTTCTTCTTCTTCTTCTTCTTCTTCTTCTTCTTCTTCTTCTTCTTCTGCTTCTTCTTCTGCTTCTGCTTCTGCTTCTGCTTCTGCTTCTTCTTCTTGCCCACTCTCTAAATTGGAGAGTTATTATTAGTATCGTTTTAAACAGGAAAAATGTTTGTTGACTTTCATATGTCAGAATTATAGAACTACAGCAGATTAGATTTGCCGCCTGTTTCCCCTCCCCCCGTGTAAAGTTACCGAAGCCTTTTTGTCCAGGAAGTACAAAACAGAAAGCCCAGATGTTTGACATGCAATACTTGACGATATAGTCCTGTGCCCTCTTTACGACTAGAGGCTGGAACGTTTTCCTATCATCAAATGATCAGGATTTCTATATTATGTAGTCTTTTAATTCTGTTTTGATTCTAGCAGTCTGCATTACTTCAGCTTTATACAAATTGAAACATATCTTCACAAATCTGCAACTCACTGGATGGGACGTTTTGTCCCCCTTCCTTTTCTTTGGTTGTTTTAAACAATTCAGGCCTTGATCTAAGGGCAGGGATATCAGGTGCTAGGATGACATGTAAGATGCTAAGCATGCGTGGTTTTCTCATGTTGTTCAAAGTGGCTTTATGGCAGTATAGGTAAACAAACAAATCCACTGGTATTAAAAGATAGCTAAATTTTGCATTCATGTATTCCTAAGAGTGACAAAGTAAGGAAGGAATGTAGTCCAGAGAAGGAATGGGAGACCCTAATTATTTTCATCTTTACACTTCTAAGCACCTTTTGCATAATATAACCAATCCACCAGGCTTGCTGCCTGGATGCTCAATTCAGAGAGCTGGTGGAGATTAGTCTCTGGAGGATGTGACTCAGGCATAAATATAAGTAGAAAGCAACTTGTTCATTCAGTCTCTCTCACTGGTGTTATAATTTTAATTGCCACTGGCAATGCCATTGTACAGAGACTGCTGATGCATAAGCCTTCAGATTGAAGCAATCTTAATAGATTAATAAACTAATACAGTCAATAAACTAAGATGGGATTGATAGGGGGAATTTTTATCAGTGAGGGAATATCTGATTTAAGGGGGAAGTGTCAGTGCTGCACAGATGACAAAGGAACCTACTGGATCAGTCACTATTGCTGATCAGAGAAGGAATGTATGGCTAGTCTGAAGCAGGATCCTAAAATTGTAGAACCACTGAATCGTTTGTGAAAGGATGAGTCACTGCTTATATAAATACAATTGATTCTTGATTCAATTGCTGGCCTGCAGGCCATGGAACAGAATCTTTTAGCCTTTGGGAATCAGGTAACCCTCAACATCTAATCCTATCTTACTGCCTTCCATCTTGTTCCAGAGAATACTGCATGTCCTCAGGTAGGCAATTTGTAGATGATGGAAATTTTCCAGACTGCCCCACCATGCCACCTGCTTGTGTCTGCTCCATTTCCATGGTACTTGCTTAGTCATCAGTTTCAGACTAGGAGTTTAGTCTGAGACTATTTTGAATCTGCAGCAAAGCTATAATATGGAGTGGTGGAAAATGTCCTGTCCTTCTGAAGCTTTTTGGGTTTTCCATAATCCACTAGTACGTTTTTTATTAAATTTCTTAGATGCTCTTTCTTCAAATAAACAAATAAGGCTCAAAATATATACTTTTAAAAATAATTATTATTCATTTTCTATTGGGTCAGGGAAGATCATAGGGAAGGGGATTTACTCTAGTATCTTATTCCAAAACATATAGTAATAATACAGTAGATAAAATTAAAAAATAATATTATATTTCTCTTGCTGCCTCAAATAGATGTGTTGGATGTTTTAATATACATGTTTATTTACATGGTTTTGATTTTATCAGTTAAGTGTCATATAGATAATCAACCAAGTATGCATATTTAATAGAATACATGTTTATTTCTACTGTATTGGTTACACCAGTTAAGTGTCAGGTAGTTGAAACTCTTTCAACTGGAAAAACAATGTTAGAAAAAAATAACACTATATTCGAATGGAAGCTTCACTTCCTGACTGGCATTAGTGAACTATGACACACAGTAAAGATACAGTGGAGTATGCAGAAAAACATGCATGTACCACACCTTTCATCTTTCGGCAGCTTGATTTATTGCTGAGGAGGTACCTGTGGGGCTTATATAAGATGCAAATATTCTCAGGCTGCTATCCTATTGTTTTTATTGTTGCATTTCTTGCTGTAAGTGCTATCCTATCAAATATCTGGAAATTTTAAAAATAATTTTTAAAAAACAGCACATTCATAGTTAATTTTAATTATCCTCACCCCTGCCTCAAATTAGAGAACTTCTTAAGAGAAGCAGTACGGACCTGCTTTAGGGGCCATACCTCCCGAGGAGCTCAAATGAAAACAGATTTTAAAAGGTATAAACAAGCATGAAATGACAATAGAATAGTTAAAAATAATAGAGTTGAGGATGCTATAAAAGGCAAAAGAACTTTCGTTTTAAAAATACTTGCTCAGTGGAGAAGGAAGGAAGGGCTCACACACTGCCAAGCCATGTGTAACGGGGTGGTGGTGGTGAGGGAGAGATAAAATAAGTGAGAATAATACTCAAACTATAAAAACTGCACAATTAAAATTCCTTGCAGAAAACACACTATTATAGTAATGAAGGACTGGGATTGTCAAGCAGCCCATAGTGGTAGGGCTCATGACCAACAAGCAACAGTGAGGATACAGACTGATAATCAAATGTGCCTATATCACCCTGGCCATCAACTGCAATTTCAAGTAATTAGCATCTTGAAAGTCACTTTGTGTTAAGGATGTCGCTTGTCTGTTGTGGTTTTGTTTCCTTTGGAACAAGGTATCTGGAGACTTAACTGGATCACTGCAACATTTGTGTCTCTTTGCAAATTCATAAGCTCAGTACTGTACTGCTTTAACACTTAAGGCATTCCTACATATCTCCTAAAGTTCACTGTGACTGTTTTTAGTGATGGGTGAATGGATAGGTAGCACCTTCAGTGTTCAAAAAATCCTCATTACCCATTTTTCCTCAGATTGAATATGCCTGTTCTTTTCATAAAGGGATCTGGATTATCACATTCCCCGGGGCAAAGGGGGTAGAATGTTGGTTAGAATCTACTGGTACATCTCTAGGTCATTTGCCAAATAAAATGACTCCTCTCTTCTTCCCTAAATTATGTGGATAAATGTAGAAAGCTTGGGGACAGTCAGGAGTATATTTGTCTGTGGAAGGAGTGTGAGCTGCATTCAGTCCTAGTATTCGAAACAAATCTCTGGGCTTGAAATTTCTCAGGATCCAGCTGGTAAATTAGTAGTATTAAAAACCAAGTAGATCTCGTAAGTCTAAAGTCACCTTAACAGAAGGGAAATATGCTGGGAGAAGAAAGGCATGTCACCTTCCAGAATATTTGCATGCTATTTTAAAAGCCAACTAATATCCTTAACAAAGGGAGTTTGTAGGGTCATCATTCAAGATGACCCCCTTTGAATCAGTTGGTTCTTGTCCTGGGATGTTTAGTTGTTTCTTGTATTTGGCAGCCCTAAACAGCATTTTTGACATGTTTGAGATGCTTCAGGAATAGTTTTACTATTGCCACTTCCCACTGAGATGGCTGAGCTGAGATTTGCACTCAAGTCCTCCAAGTCCTAATCTAACACTATGCTCACATTGTTACCATATTGGAAGAACGTCTGTTTTACAGTAAAGAATCTTAGGGAAGACAACAGAGAATGCTGAACTAGATAACAGGTTGGTCTGAGGCAGGTTGCTTCCTGTCATGGAGCAGGAAATGGCAACAGAAACGTCACCATCTGTCATAGCGCATAGTTCCAGTGTTGGTCACATTACCTTGGCAACAGAGGCAGAAAATTCTACAAAACCTTCTCTTTTGGGCAGCAAGCAAACAAGCAAACAAATAAACAAGAAGCCCTTTCCTGACATGCAGATCCATTATCTCAGACGACTTCTTCACTTGCTTAAAACAAAGTCAAGAACTGCAGGGTAGCTTAGTGGTTTAGGTCTCTGACTGCAGAACCAGAGGTTGAGAGTTCGGTTTCCCACTGTGCCTCCTTGAGAGTAACTGCACTTGATGATCCATAGGATCCCTCCCAGCTCTGCAGTTCTAGAATTACAACTCTTATTATAAAGTACTGACCTAGATGGAGTATATTTAGCCTGATCCAACAACAGTTCTTAAGTTTTTACTTATTGCTATCCTTGCAAACCGTTTATATGCATGAAAAACTGTAATGAGATAGGCCTGTATCCTCTTCCCTTACCCCTTAAAATCCAACATGGTATTTTTGGGCTTTGGACACATTACGGTGGCCCCTTGAAACAGTTTCCTGAATGAAGCATTTGCTGCCACAGCAGTTAACTTAATTACAGTGGCCCCTTGAAACAGTTTCCTGAAGCATTTGCTGCCACAGCAGTTAACTTATGTGTAGTTTTTTTTGTAAATGCCCTTTCCATTCCTATTTTCTTCACTACACAGGTGTCTTTAGTCATGCTGACATTGGAGGGTGGTCAGTGACACCACTCCAAAGAAGTGCAGTGGCTACACTGGTTGTGTCACCCCAGGTGATGAATTCAAGTCATCCTTGTTCTTCTCACTGAAGCAAACTTGTCAGACAAAAACCAGTTGCTCCTCCTAATTCCATCAAAGACTATAAAATAAGCCCAACCCATGCAGACTAATACACTAAATCCATGTTAACAACTTCCTTTGGGTAGTAATAGTACTCTGGTCAGAGAAGTAGAGACGTAACAAGTGAATGACATCACAAGAAAAAATGAGTCTCTGCCTGGTGCTCACACAACATTGGCAACAAATGAGAACAGAAATGGAACACAAGATAAAGAGCACTACTTTCTCCACTCCAATACCTACATTTCTTCATCATAACTTCAAGGAACTCCAAGAGGGCATTACAGTTCTTGGCAGCAAGCTGACGGAGAAGGTAAGGCATCTTGATTGCTCTTTTGCAGAATGCCGGAGGAAATTGGAGAAGAACTATTTACTATGTGCAAGAATGTCTAATCTTTCCTGTATTTCTAGTATGATTACTGAAACATGCTGGTAGGCAGACAGGGATTAGAGCAGTGGTTCCCAACCTTGCATTGGGTCCCCAAATGTTCTTGGACTAAAATTCCCAGCTTTCACCACTACTGTGCTAGTGCTAGGCTTTCTGGGAGTTGTAGTCCAAGAATATCTGAAGACCCAGTGTTGGGAACCATTGGATTAGAGGAAGACTGCCTTACTTATTTTATGTATCCTATGTATTTTACATACATAAGATGGGAGTCATGATGTACACCTTCTCAAGGATATTTGAAAATGCATGACTTGTGATACTTAGCTCTACAGAATACATTATCAATTGAAACTGCATCAGTCGCTCTTTCTATTGTGGCCCATTTCCTTCCTAGAATAAATTCTACATATTTTTAGGATATTGCATTTCAATACATGTAATACTCTGGAGACTCATTGCCCTAATAAGACAAGCAGGAGTTAAGGAGTTAGCCAGGAGTTAAGACAGAAGAGGTATGATTTTGGCGGGCAGTGGGCATGGGAGCTGGTGTAGCCTGACACACAACAGATTCCTGGGAGTCAGCCTTGGTTGTGGTCTCACCGATCCCTGTATGTTTCTTCTCCTGTCTATGATGATGTTGGTGGCATCGCTCGTGTTCCCTCCAGTAGGGTGACCTCTCTGTCTCCTTGAGCAGCAAAATGAGCTAGACCCACTTGTCTGTCCAGGGGTCCTGGGGAGCTACCACCTTTGAACTGGCTCAGGTGTTTGTTGCTGACTCCTCAGGAGCCTTGGCCTGGGGAGCCTCCCAGTTGGCCATTTCCAGTGCCTTTTCCCAGTGGTTTGTGCCTTCTTTTATTTTCCTCCTTCCTCAGGGAAGAAAATAACCTCATATGGTTCAGCTATTTCCTTGATGTAGCCCCAGTCCGCCAGGGAAATGCAGGTGGGAAAGTCTGTAAGAATCACTAGCGGAGTTGGAGGTCCTGCTGTGGGTTGGTCCAGCCTCAGGAGTGAGATTCTTGCTGGACCCACAAATATTATGGGAAGAATTGCTCTGTCTTTACTCCTATGATACCCAGCTTGCAACTTATGAAATCAAAGCAGAATAGGAACCAGGCATGGAACAGTGAGAACCAAACAAGATACAGGGCAACATGCATGAGAGTTTCATTGTATTTTCTGAAATAGCATTGTTGGATTATATGTTACTGTACCTCTTTGCCAGCCATGAAAATGTTTAATTCCTGATTATTTGTGATGATTCTATCATTGCAGCTCACGGAACAAGAAGAAGATCAGGCATCCTTCTTCTTGTAAATATCTCTTCTGTATCGCGACATTAAAAGTGGACACAGAAAAATAAAATGGCTGCTTTCGTTGTTGAAAACTTCCGCTTCCTCTCACTCTTCTTCAAAAGTAAAGATGTGATGATTTTCAATGGCTTGGTGGCCCTGGGCACTGTTGGGAGTCAGGAGCTTTTCTCCGTGGTTGCTTTCCATTGTCCATGCTCCCCAGCTAGGAACTACATCTATGGTTTGGCTGCCATTGGTGTACCTGCCCTGGCCTTGTTTGTCATTGGCATCATTTGGAACAATCATACCTGGAACCTGGTGTCTGAGTGCCACAAACGAGGAACAAAGAACTTTTCAGCAGCTGCCAACTTTTTGATCTTTGGCTCTGTTATGGGACGGGCTGCAGTGGCTCCTGTCACCTGGTCAGTGATATCACTGCTCCGTGGAGAGGCCTATGTCTGTGCCTTGAGTGAATTCATAGATCCCGCCTCCCTGAGTAACTTTCCAGCTGGCTATGGAGCAGATACCATGGCCAGGTTCCCTTGTAATGATCTGCCGGTCAATGTGACACATTTCAAGGATGAAGTAATACGGCGATTAAAATATGAGTCTCAGGTATTTTACTTTACTTATTTGTTCATGTGTAATGGAAAAGGAGTGTGGTTTCCTGGCTGGGATATCAAGAAATTTGTTTTCATGTCCACACTGTGTTTGGTGCATTACTGTATGATGCACACCCAGAGAGCTGTTAATTAATGAATTCATTATAAAGACGTGAACAGTAATCCCTCTGTTGACTTCCCCGCTTATTATGCATGTACGTCTCAGTGACCTAGATTTCCTTTCTTCTTGGATTCCTATTTTTATTAGTGATTTAGCTTCTTTTACTTCTATTAACATAGGGGTATGCTGTTTGAGGCTGATGGAGTTCATAGTCCAACAACCTGCAGGCTGCAAGGTTACAGAAGGCTGATTTTTGTTACTTCAATAATTTGTATCATGCTGTGAAGCTTGAGTTTTACAATGTAAAGTTTACCATGTCATTACACACTCCCATTTAATTAGAATGATCTGCGTGGTTTTCCCATCTGCATTAGTAATCAACATTTAGCTTCTAGGCTCAGCTTCTTTTGAAGCTGTTCCAGTTAAACCAGCATACAAGCTCTTGTAGTGCAACCCTCGGCATGTTTACTTGAAAAAAAATTCCAGTGGGTTCAGTAATATTTCCTCACTACAAGTGTGCAGAGAACTGCAGCCTTAAACATTTCAGGCTTGTCCTTTCTCTGAGCTTGAGGTTGTATGTCCAGAGGAAGTTTTGCTTTACCAAATATGCTTATACTGTATATCTCTATGATGTAAGTAACACTTGGCAACAAATAGTCACTATGTAATATAGTCAGTGTAGTAGCTGAGCCAAGAAAAATAGACAATGCTTGGCATTTTTGCTTTCTTGGACTAACAATACCCAGAATCCTATGGCTGGCATTTGCACATATCCCTTCTACTTTATCACATTTAGTCCCATGTTGCATAAGGACCTACTCACTCACTCACTTTTATTGTTACAGCATCGAGCCATATAAATAAAACAAAATTAAATGCAGAGCATCAAGTACTGACATATACTACAAAAAGCCAAGTCAAATAAGCAAAAGACACTAAAACTACAAATATGACAATGTAAGACCAATGTCTAAGTTTGGCTATCTATTCTGCCTACAATGGCATGCCGCCCAAAATTTCGCTACCAGTTCTGTAGTGATCCGATTTTGATCAATTAACAATTGGTTACAGTAGGCCGAGTCTGACTGGCTTGTCATGTCTTTTAAGAGGGGTGTAATATATTTTCCTCGAATCTTGTTATGCCTGTTACATCTGAGCATGATATGCTCAATGGATTCTATCTCACCAGATCCACAAGGGCAGAGTCTCTGTTCCCTCGGGATCTTCTTAAACTTGCCTTCCAGGTCTGCTGAGGGAAAGGCCTCACATCTAGCCAGAGTAAAGGCTTTCCTAAACTTATATGTCTCAAGCTGTGACAAATAGGCCATGGGGAGCACGCAATATTTGTGCGTGTGCATCGCTCCAAAGTTGGGGCATCTACCGAGATCTATCTGTCTTTCCATGTCCATTATTCTCTGTTTGAACATAAGGACCTAAATCTATGTACACACTCTGTTATGTATATCTGGAGACAATAGTTGGCAACACTGCTAAATGTAGTTCACTGCTGAATAAGGTAACCAGGACTATTTATCTTTTATTTTGGACTGATCCTAGTACAGTATTATTTTACAAAGATGACAATGCTGCTTACCCTGTTTGTCTCTTAAATTCTGAAAGAGAGAGAGCTGATGACTCAAAATGCCTGGGGTTTCGGCAGGAAGAATAGACGGAGAAGCAGCGGCCCACCAGTGTGTGCAATCTTCAGATCACTAGAATTTGCTCACCAATCTCTCCAAACCTAGTATCCATCAGACCTGGGATGGATGGGAGTTAGGAGTCAAAAAATAACACAACTGGCAGGCACCACGTTAAGGGCAGTTTCTGTTTAGAGACCAAATCCAAATAGAATAAAGCCCTGTTTTTGCATTGTCTTTCCTTTCCAGCTGATTGGATGGATGCTCATCGGTGCGGTTGCAGTTCTCGTGTTCATCACCAAGTGCCTGAAACACTGTTGCTCACCTCTCAGCTACCGCCAGGAAGCTTACTGGAACCAGTACCGCTCCAATGAAGCCAAGCTCTTCCAGCGCACTGCGGAGATACATTCCAAGATGGTGGCTGCCAACAATGTCCAGCATTTCTTTGGTTTTGTTTGTTTAGACAAAGAGGAGCAGGAGTTGGTGAAGGAGTTTGCTGTGACAAACATACAGCCCAGGTCACAGTGGGACGATGTCACTGGAGTCTATATCTATCGAGAGAATAATGGTTTCCCTCTCTACAGTCGTCTCCATAAATGGGCCAAAAAGATGATGGGAAACAATTTAGGTCCCGACAGCCAGGAAACAGCCTTCCTAGCTACCTAAGATAACAGGCTGCAATGTGATAACTGTATACACTTCGTTGGAAGTACCACTGAACTTCAAAGGACTTTTTTCTAAGTAGGCATGCATAAAACTGTGCTAGCACTTATATATTCATGCTGTATGTTATGTTCATTTTATCTATGGACCCAGCTCTTTTGGCTCAAGAACTTGATCTTATGTCATAATGGATTATAACTTAGACAAAGGCATTGGAGGAAGAAGAAAGACTGTCTGGGAACTCCCTTCTAAAATAGGACCAGAGGGCTGTCCTGACAGAAACAACTATCTGTTGCTGCAGCAGAGAAAACAAAGAACCTAAAGAAATCAGGTAAAGGATGTTGTTGCTCAGTATGCAGGGGAGATAAATCAGGTGTTTAGCCATGCAACTGGAGACTCTTATTATATTTTCCCTCATTTTTGAGAGAAGACATGCTATTCAGCAGCTTCACCTTTATCACTTACCACTACCTCAACTTGTGCTTCCTTGGAAAATATCCTTCACAATGGCACAAAACAACATATAAATGTTAGATGGCTCAGGAGACGTTCCTGAGAACTTAATTTTTCTGCCTCTCCCAAGATTCTACTTAGAGGCAGATAAGATGAGCCCCATTCTGCTTCTGGAAAGGGTAGCTGCTGTCCTCTCCTCTCCTGGACTTGGTTCTTTAAAGCAGAACTAGATTTAGCTATTTGCTTTAAGGGGCAAAGTTGGTACCTACAAAGAGGCCCATAGGAAAATGGGGGAAACCTTTTTTTTTCTGTTGAAAGCCCTTGTATATTTACCTACCTACCTACCCTACATTCTGAATAGAAAAAGTGTAATCATCTCAGTCTATGGGGCTACCAATGTAGAGAGGGCTGTATAACAAGCCTCAAAAGTTTTGAGCTTAGCCTTTCAGAACAAAATTAATGTTTAATTAAGTTTTAATGAAAGCTGATCTTAAGAGACTACTGTCTGAATAATAGGACAAGAGTTCTCCAATAGAGAAGACACACTAGTGATTAATACTTTTAATCTTGAAAATTATATGAATCCAAATCTCTGGCTCACTAGGCAGATTCGTGCCTGAAATTGGAGATGTATCCAATGGTAGTTATATCTGTATGTATTATGGAGTGTAGTGCACCAGTCTCATACTGCCTTCATATGCAGCTACAGATTTTCTCGTTAGACCAGCTTATCTTGCCCATACTTACTGCAGAATTCTCATTTCATAGATCACAAACTGAAATAAATCCTTCAGTGAAACAACTTTAAATTCATTAAATTGTCCCTCTCTACCATTTCATCATAATATTGCAAGGCCTTGGCATTCCAAATACTGTACAATATTAAATAACACTTTACTTCTAAAACAAGAGAACAGTTTTGTAGAACAATCTAGAACTGAACCAGAAGCAGACTTTGCAAGCACAAATAATTGCCTCAAAAATAATAAGTACAAGTTCAGTTTTCTATATTCTTTTCTACCACAATTGGCAACACCAACATTTATCCTTAAAAGCACCTGTTATAAAGGTTTAGAAAACAAGCAGACCAAGCACTATCCTAGTAACTGAGTAGAACAGCAAACGAGATATATAAAATTGAAATCCCAATTCTCAATACTTTTTAAAGTATCTGTTCAACTGACTAAGAAGCTAGGCACCAATATGCAATTGGGCCAATGCTGTTAAAAACAAACGGCTTTTCACAACAACTGCTGGAACACCTACTCAACCCAGAGACTGTCATTACATAACCATGTAATTTTCATATGAAACTCAAGACTAATTGTGCCTGCACCCCTAGCAGATAAGAAATAAAAATTCCTGCTTATGGTTGTTGTAGGTTTTTCAGGCTCTTTGGACATGTTCTGAAGGTTGTTCTTCCTAACGTTTCGCCAGCCTCTGTGGCTGGCATCTTCAGAGGACTGGAGTCAGAACTCTGTCTGTGCTCTGGTGCTCTAGACTAGTGGTTCTTAACCTTTGTAACTCGGATGCTTTTGAACTGCAACTCCCAGAAACCCCAGTCAGGACAGCTGGTGGTGAAGGCTTCTGGGAGTTGCAGTCCAAAACTCCTGAGTAACCCAAGGTTAAGAACCAGTGCACTAGACAAGAGTTCCGACTCCTGTTCTCTGAAAATACCAGCCAGAGAGACTGGCAAAACATTAGGAAGAACACAACACAACCAAACAGCCTGAAAAACCTACAACAACCATCAGATCCTGGCCGTGAAAGCCTTCGAGAATACATTCCTGCTTATGTTTGTCCCATAAGCACCTCTGTAATACCAGTATGAGACTCTCAGATCTTCCTGTTCCTGACTGAGGGACTTCATTAGTACTTCTGTCATGTATAGTTTGAGTTTGCCGTGCCTTCCACTTCCTCCTAGAACTATAAAGTTCCTTCTAAAAGCGTTTGCAATTTTCCTTAACCTTCAAGATCTTCCTTGGACTTTCTGTTTTTAGATACATATCACCCATCTGCAAAGAATGAATGCAGCACCAGAGGGAGCTGGCAGCTCAGAGAAGATTGACCATAAGCTCCTGCCTATCAAGGTGAGTGGGAGGAACCATCTACTACAAGGATATCCTCCCACTCTCTAGGAAAAGACACATTTTAAATGACTACCAACATTCATGCCAGTCTCCCACTGGCTTTTGGAATAATGTTGTGCCAATTCACATGGATAATTATAAAACCACTCCGTTTCTTTTGGCAACAGAGTATTAGTCACACATTATATATATATTATACCATATACCCAAGATTTTGCTTTTAGTGATTTCCCTTCAGGTTACCATCCCCCCCCAAGGGTGTCATATATCAAAGTTGTGCCTGCTTTCCCCTTACTATTTACATACTATAAATCAGAATTGACTTGACAGAACATCATCATCATCATAATGTATGATCGGGGAGAACCTGTGCCTTTCCTGATGTTGTGGACCTCTAATTCTCAGCAAATTAAGCCAGCAAGGCCAGGAGGGATCTTGGGAACTATAGTTTAAATCTAGAGTTCTGCAGCACTGATGTAATTGGTTAGAAAAGATTCCAGCTCCCACATGGATCAGATGAACCGATTATATCAGTTCTGTGTAATCTGTAGAATATACTCTTACTAGTGCAAATCTTTTTGCAGGAATTTTAGTAGAGACTAGATGTAGAACAGCACTAGCATATAAAAATAACTTCATAAGAAGAGCTTAACTTTTAAAAAAATCCACAAAGCTAAGGAATTCTGTCAAGTTCAGATTTAGAATAGAAATTGTATAACACTATTTTTTCCATTGGAAGAAAATCATTTGCTTTGAGTTAACGACAGAATTAGGAATACATTCTCACTTATTACAGCACATAGGTAATAGGTTTCAGCAGTAAGCAGAAATAACTTCGTAAGAAGAGCTTAACTTTTAAAAAAATCCACAAAGCTAAGGAATTCTGTCAAGTTCAGATTTAGAATAGAAATTGTATAACACTATTTTTTCCATTGGAAGAAAATCATTTGCTTTGAGTTAACGACAGAATTAGGAATACATTCTCACTTATTACAGCACATAGGTAATAGGTTTCAGCAGTAAGCATATGGTTATAAAAACACAATGACATGGTTTTCCAGGTTACTTTGTACAAAACATGGAATTTTAATGAATTACTGCAATGCATAGATATGGGTGTAGCCAAAAGTTATTTCTAATTCAGATTTATCATGAGATGGATAAGTGTGAGAACAAGTTAATCAAATTTGCAAGATAAGACACATCATTAATTTGTTACTGCAAAGCATGCGCCCTAGCAAAGGACAGGCATGAAAAATAATCCCTTCATTCTAAGTAAAGGAAGAAAAGCTAATAGAATTTCAATGCATTTAATGAGCAAAGCTGTCCCTAGAAGCAAGTATGACATACTGGATTTTCTGCTAGTTATTAATTCTTGTTTTTAAAAAAATCAATACTGTACTTAAATAAAGCTCCAAAGACACATTAAAAAATTCAGGAAAAGTACAAAAAGAATCAACGATTACAGACATTATGCTCTTATGCAGTTCTTGATAAGCCATGGTGATTTAGTCCAGGCTAAGTCAGCATACTGCTGAGAAATGCAGGAAGCAGGAAAGCTTCTCTTCCCTGCAGCTGAGTTAGGTTCCTCTTCTCAATGTACAAGTAGCAAGTCTGTCTGCTTCAGTAGTTAGCTCTCAGCAAGACTGCTCTTGGATTCCACATACTGCAGTGCTGCAGCCTTCACAGCCTGAACTGCTTCTGCTGTGCCATACTTTTTCTCATAGTCCAGGTAACGCTTGAAGAAAAACTTCATCTTCTTTGCTGGTAAGCTGAGGTGTATTACGCGCTCAAAAATATCCCTGCAAAAAAACAACCCGGCAACTTTGTTCAAAATGTTGCTTTATTAACAGATACCTAAATTTTAAAAGGTTGGTTAGCTAGTAATGCATGCAAGCATGTGTGTGTATTACATTCTCAACTTCAAAGCCCATGCTTCCATCAGATGGCAGTAGCAGTACTATCAACAGAAAACACTAGTCAGGGAGAATACAGGCTTGGTTTAAAATCTTTTTTGTCCACTGCAAGTGGTATAAAGGTAACGGTTCCCCTTGACAATTTTTGTCCAGTCGTGTCCCCCTTTAGGGGGCGGTGCTCACCCCCATTTCCAAGCCATAGAGCCAGCATTTTTTTTTGTCCGAAGTCAATCTTCCATGGTCACATGGCCAGTGCGACTCAGACACGGAACGTTGTTACCTTCCCACCAAGGTGGTCCCTATTTATCTACTTGCATTTGCATGCTTTCGAACCGCTAGGTTGGCGGGAGCTGGGACAAGCGACGGGCACTCACTCTGTCGCGTGGATTCGATTTTACGACTGCTTGGTCTTCTGACCCTGCAGTACAGGCTTCTGCAGTTTAGCCCGCAGCGCCACCACATCCCAGAGTGGTATATTAGCAGGGTATTTAAAACCCAGAGAGAACGAAGACCAAGAATTCAATCTTCCTTATCACAAGTGAAATACAGTGCACATTCAAACAAAAGCTTTAGGATTCCTCATATCTGCACATTTTAAAATCCATACTAAGATGACACCTTTATTGTGTGTGCTTTGTGCCGTCAAGTCGGAACCCACCTACAGAGACCTTAATAGGGCTTTCAAGGTAAGTTAGAAATTTAAGGAGTGGTTATACCAGTTCCACTCACTCCATTGAGTTTCCATGGCCAAGTGGGGATTCAAACCATGTTCTCAAGTCCTAGTCCATCAATTTATCCACTACACCACACTGGGAATGACACCTTTTTTAGGCCAACCAAAGAGAGACCAAAAAAGGTACAAAAGCTTGCCAGGACAAGGCTCCTGAGGAGTTAGGAACAAACACCCAAGCCAGTTGGACACACTTGAAGGAGTTTTTCAGAAGTCAATGCACACACTTGAAGGAGTAGAAAACCCTGATCCATTAAAAGCTGAGCAAACATGAGACTTCAGAAATCTGTCAACTCTTTATGGACATAGTATACCCAGCCCCTGACTGAAGAGTATACATGTTATTGTATATTTATGTTATGCACCATCAAATAGCTATCCTATTAAGGCTTTCAAGATATGTGAGATGTTTAAGGAGTGTTTTTACTAGAGCCACCACACACCCATAAGTTCCCACGGATAAGCAGGTATTTGAACACAAGTCTTCTGAGTCTTAATCCAACATTCTATTGACTACACTACCCTGGCCCAAGCACATGACATTTAGAGAAGTAATCATAGAACAAAATTCCCATATATAGGAAGCCATGGTTTCCACTAAGAGACAGAACTGGGATGAACCTCAGACTCATTCATATAACAGGAAACTATGGTTTCACTTCTGAACCCAGCTTGGAAACTACAATACTAATCTGGTTTAGTAGAATTTGTAAGAATTCCACTAACTTTACCCCCCCCCCGAAAGTAAGATGTGCAAGTTGCCCACTCAGGGTTTGTTTTCTGATTTAGAAGTAGATTCTGATCTGATTTTTAAGAAAAGGAAAGAAGAAGGAAATTATGCTTCTTAAGCCAATTCCACCTTTCGTTTCATACTAGTTAACTTCCCAAAAAGCCGTTTTGAAGAAAATGAAGTTGTTTTCCAGGTGAACAACATTTAGCAAAACACATTCTGTGTTCTATCACAAAAAATGGAATAAAAAATGTTATAATGAGTCTATTATAAGAAGCATAACTCCCTTGGGAAGTTAATTTTTTTAACTTCCCAAAAAGCCCTCGAGAATACATTAATTTTTTTTTATTTAACATAGTACAAGGTCACTGAGCTCTGAAAGCTGCAAATTACAGTAGTTTGCTTTTGTTTGGTGACAGGTCATGAGGAGATAAGCATGGGCTTCATTTACAAGTCGACTGTACAGATGCAACATTGAACTGCCTTTTTGGAGGGAAGATATTTTACCACCTTTTACTTGTGAAGGTAGTATTGCATATAGTTTGGCCCCCAGCTCCAGCATGTAATTAATAGGAAGGTCCCCAAAAAGTAGGCTTGTTTGATCTCCAATCAAACAAGTATAGGACAAGTACTTAGGAGTGGCAGGGTCAGACTCTTCTCCTATAGTAAATATCTGGACTAACACAGGGTCTTAATGCTGCAATGTCTTTTAATGTTGTAATATTTGCTTGCAAAATCAAGCATGACCTCAGCTTGCTCTACTTTCAAGGCTACTTCAATTTTTTTGTATAGTATCTGAAAGATACTGTACAGTACTGTGTAGACAGTGAACGATACTGTAAAGATACTGTATAGTATCTTCAAGTAAGTGAAAGATCAGAAGTCCCCACTTTTGTTCCTTTGCCCATACGTACCGTACTTCCTTTTGGTTGCCGTGCTTTATCATCATGTCTATGTAAACTGACCAGATATCTGTTCGTTTGGGGTATGTGCTCAGCGTGTTCTCAAAAATAGCCTTTCCATGCTCTAGGTCGCCAAATTGGAACTCCAGCTGTGCCAGCTTTGAAATCAAATCCACATCTGCAATAGTGCAAAAGTACATTTTAAACTGTGCTTTCTACTAGTCACCATTGCCTGTATTTAGAATCTGACAATGCAACATCACTCTGTTATACTCCATTAGTACGGGATTAGGCAACAAGATTCATTGGAAAAGACAATAATGCTAGTCAAAGTTCAAGGTGGCAGGAAAAAAAGACAGAATAAGAGAAAGTTTGACTCAGTAAAGAAAGCCATAGCCTTGAGTCTGCAAGAGCTGAGCAGAGAAATATCTTTTGGAAGTCAATAATTCATAGCGACATCACACATCAAAAGCAATTTGGCAGTACATAACAACAACAGGGAATTACAATTCCATCAGGAAATTTTCAAAGCACACAAGCAGAACATACATTTACTTTTTGTAAAATGTGCATTATTTATTGTGATGGCACATTTTTACATTCTATTATTTGGATGTCTTTCAGTCTGGTGGCAGGGAATGAATGCATTAAGGCAGCTATTCTCAATGAGAGGTCGGGAACATTTGAAGGGGGCCACAGACTAGAAACGATTATTCACACACCATCTTATAAGGTTCATTATGTGACTTATACAATCCTGATTCAGCCTGTATTTCTTTCATATTGTGTTTTTTTTTCTCCTTTCATATTGTGTTTATGGCCATGGCTAAAAACAGTTGAGAATAGCTGCATTAAAGAATTGTTAGCAAGAAGGAACGAGGATAGGCTACTAACAGGGTCAGTCTGAAAGCCTTACTCTGCTTCTGAAGCTTCTGAAAGCATCATCAAGAAACGATTATACTGTACACTGGAAAATGCACATATTCTGATAATTTCTCTATCAGAAAGTTCCCCAATCCTACACTGTCAAATCTCTAACTGCTTTCAATCTCTAAAAGTAAAAAAACAAAGAATAAACACTTCCTTGGTGAGGAGGCAGAAAGAAGGAGACGCCAAGGTTTGAAACCCTGTCCTTCATATTGGGGGGAGACTGAAGCCAAAGAATGGAGGCGTAAGCTTAGGAAAGAAAGAGAGGCTGTGGCGAGGGAATTAGAAAGGAAAAAGACATGGCATCTCGCTGAGCTCCGGAAGATGGGGGTCTACCCGGACCGTGGTTGGCAGATGCAGGAGAGAGGTCGTCTGTATGGGGCTGGAGTGGTGACGAAGAAACACTCCCCTTGATCAGTCTAGAGCAGGGGTGTCCAACCTTTCACCTTCCCTGGGCCACATTAAAAGATGAAAATTTGGTTTGGGCCACACATAAATTTGGTTTGGGCCGCATGGGGGGGGCAGCCCTAGCCATCCTCCGCAGCCCCTCTCCAAGCGCGCTTACCGGCAGCTGCAATCTCAGACAGCGGAGGCTGCCAGCTTCGACTCCGGTGGCTTTATGGGGCCGGGAGGGGGTCCACCTATTGATGGGGATGGCGCAATGCAGTCACGCAGTCCCCCTCTCCCCTCCCCTCCTGCTCCTTCCTTCCTTTCCTCTCTTCCCCCCCTACCATTGTGACGTGCCCCAGCCTCATTCCGGCCGCAAGCACCGGCAGTGTAACTTGAAACTTTGGAATTTCTTTAAAAATAAAAAACTGCACTGGGCAGCATTATGAGCCAACCTGGGCCGCAGGTTGGACAAGCCTGGTCTAGAGGAAGAACCTGGCGACAACCTGGTGCCCGAGAAAGGAATATCAGGGCCGTGGACTCACAGCATTAAGGCAGCTATTCTCAATGAGGGGTCGGGAACATTTGAGGGGGGCCACAGACTAGAAACAATTATTCACACACCATCTTATAAGGTTCATTATGTGACCTATGCAATCCTGATTCAGCCTGTATTTCTTTCATATTGTGTTTATGGCCATGGCCAAAAACAGTCGAGAATAGCTGCATTAAAGAATTGTTAGCAAGAAGGAACGAGGACAGGCTACTAACAGGGTCAGTCTGAAAGCCTTACTCTGCTTCTGAAGCTTCTGAAAGCATCATCAAGAAACGATTATACTGTACACTGGAAAATGCACATATTCTGATAATTTCTCTATCAGAAAGTTCCCCAATCCTACACTGTCAAATCCCTAATTGCTTTCAATCTCTAAAAGTAAAAAACAAAGAATAAACACTTCATTGGTAAGAAGGAACCCACTGAAAAATAACTTGGTAAACAATAGCTATCAAAACTGGTAGAACTTCTTAATATGCTGCTTTTCCTAGATTTGTGTATACTGCCAAGGGACCAGTTAGAAACCTATATGTTAATTAAAGGCAAAGCTTAAAGAAGTTACTTTTTGGACTATAACTCCACCAGCTAGTATGGTTGGCCAAGAGGACTGGGGGATTTAGGGAACTGAAGTGCCAGAAAAATAACTTCTCCAAACTCTGTTCACAGTGAAGGGGAAAGAATGAGTTAACGAAGAGCAAATTCACAGGTCCTTACGTTCTTTGTTTGGCAGGCACTTCAGGGCACGAGGGAGGAGCCTATGAGCTGCTTCCACCAGGCCTCTTTTCAGGAGGAAAGTAGTGTACTTCACCCACACAGATTTCTCCTGTCGAAAACGCTTTAGCATTGTATTATAGAGGTCATCAGCTTCCTGAAGGAAGAGAAGAAATAATTATAAACAAGAAATCTCTAGTGCTTTGATTCAGAGAGCAGCAAATATTTATTGTTCCAAAGTTTATTCTATACACTGGCAGAACCCACAAAAACCTTAAAGGATAATGCAGTGGATCCAGACTGGAGTTCAGCAGTCTGGTTATGTTGTGCATATTCTATGATCTGGCTTAAATATACTGGCTCTTGGATTTCATGATGTACTTTCTAGCAATGGCAATAACTGTTGGTGGCTACTCTAGCTGAAGCCTGCACTAAACAAATATATCTCAAAGACTTAAATGAGTCCGGCACTGAACTCATATGCTCATTCTATTCTTTCAAGTTTTGGAAGTGTCATCCCTTTAGATTTATCTGTTTGCTCTTAATTCCAACCATGACTCTAGAACACTATGCCTGCCAAACAAAGAATGTAAGAACCTGTGGATTTGCTCTTCGTCAACTCATGCTTTCCCCTTCACTATGACCAGAGCTCTAGAACACTATATAATAATTCTGCCTCTACTAGATTCCCAAAATTTAACCAAGATTTAACAAGGCCCACTATTCTAATTCTGAGCACAACAACCATTTGCTATTGTAAATTCTAGAATTCATAGGTCCAGAGTATATTATGCAGCCAAGAACCTAGAGCAAGACATGGCATTAAATACGTAAAATCTATTGCCATTTGAAGGCAGAAGCAACAACAACAGCTTGATATGTCTAAAGTGTTAAGAGGAAGCTTGGCATCTAGCTGGACCTAGTTTGAAGCGTACTCCTTCCAGGAACAGATAAATCATGTTCCTGTCACCCTCACTGAAGCAACTCATGTGACTATACTTTGCCTCACCTTGTATTTCTCAGAGCCACTGTAGATATCTGCCAACTGCTGAAAGACCTTCAGAGGCTCATTGTACTGAATGGCTCTTTCAAAGACTTTCATCAGTGCTTCCTCTGTGCCATACATGTTCTCGAGGTTCAGCAGGGCAACCCATACATTCAGCTTTTCTTGTTCTTCTCTGAAAGCAAAGAAAACAAGTAACATCCTTCTGTATGGGACCAAAGTTCAGATTCTGGCCTACCAGCCCACTTGGGAAAAGTTAAGCCCATGACCTTCTTGACAACATAACCTCACAGATATTAGATCATACGCAGCTGGTGCCATTACTGCCATGGTTCTCCTTCTCCTTTGATGTATTTGTACCTAATTACTGGGCTACACATTGTCCCAGCCCCATAGATTCTAATCCTCAGCACTACCACCCCTTCATCAGATGAAAAGGAGCACAGCATGCTTTCACTTCTCTATAAGAAGAGAACATAACATTTGCAGGAAACATAAAGTGAGATAAGTGACTGGAGCTGTAGCAGCAAGAGGGTGAATTTTCCTTAGCAAGTGTTTCAGAGTTGGATGTTTTGCCCATTTCTATCAGCTGCTGCCAGGGAAGTAGAAGGTACTTTCCTGAACCTCATGCAAGCACCAGCCTTCTAAATCTCTGAATTACAATTGAAATCACTGTCTGTGATACTTGGCTCTTTTTCAGTGCTTAACCCTATCTACGTTTAGTAGTGGGAAAAGCTCTGCACTGCAAGAAGAGCATTGCAGTACATTGTCAGTATCACATGTGCTAAGCAGATTAAATTCTATTTCTTTCTTTTGGACCAGTCTCTTGTCATATCTCTGTCTTGTATACATAGCACCCTTCAAATCCTGATTTTTTCCTTGCACAGGGAAAGGGTAACTTGTCAGATGCACTACAGCTATAACACTGATGCAAGCAAAACTTGCAGGAATGAGAGAAAAAGGACATTGCCTACTTAGCCTTGCAGATATCCCCTCTGAGATACAGCTGAGCAAAGCACCATATAGATATCAAAGGTCATAAACTAAGCCTAGAAGATAAAAAGAAACAAGAGGCTATTCACCTGAAGGATATGGTTTTGAGTGCCCTTTCTGCTACAGCTCTGGCTTTGTCTATCTCTGTTGCCTGAAGATGAAAAGCCATATATTGTAGCCAGAGGATGGAGCTGTCAGGGTTGCCAAGAACTAAGCGATCAAAGTCATCCGCTGTCTCAGGCTGACGGCTGGGGTCCATCAGGGCAGCCTCTAGTTTGGAGAGTTCCTTCTCTGCCTTCTGCTTCTCCAGTTCCTTCTTCTTTTTTGATTGCTTCTTTGTCTTTAAAGATGAAACAAGGGGAGAGAGAAGGAGAAGAGGTGTGACAATGGGGGGAAATGCATTGGTACAAAATAGAATATGATCAAAGGTTTGATGCCCTCAAATCATACTCAAATCTGTGTTTATCACCCTAGTGATGCCAAAGAGCACATACGACTCGTACTTCTATTCTCAGCTCTATGCCACCTGCTTGCAGTACATTGTGTATATTCCTTTAAGTCCACTTGACTTCCTCTTTTATTTATTTATCAAAACATTTTTAAAAGGCCCCAGACCCTTATGGGCAGAGTACAAAGACTATGAGCACAAAATACAGTTAAACGGTTAAATACCCATGTCATCAAAACAAACAGCAACAAAAGCAGTAAAAGGGGACCAAATCAGCTAATTAAAATGATCAGGCCAACAAAAAAGTTTTTGATCTGGTACCAAAACAACTTGCAGCAAATACCTCCACAGGGAAGGCTATTTGTAGCCACAGATGAGATGGATATCTCCTTTGTTAGCACATAGTGTGGCCAAGGCAGCTGGAGGAGAGCTTATCCTGATGGTCTAACAACATGGACAGGCTTCCCTTCCTTCATTATGCTTGCTGCCAGTCCCACCACTGAAATGTAAGTTTGGCTGCACATGTATGAACAATGAATAGAGAAGGACTGTCTGGTGGGAGGGCATATTTGAAAATATGGCTGCATATCCAACAGCAGCAACTTTTGGTACTGCCTGAACTCAGGAAAAGAAGTAAAGTATCTGCATGTTTCCAGATGCAAGCCTCAAGAAGAAGGGTTCTGAGCAGTGTAGTTTCTAACATGAACCTGAAGGCCAGGGTGGGACTGGAGATTCAGATTCAGGTTTTAGTTCGTCTCTGTTGCTAGTTGTTACAGAATCTGTTTATTTTACAAGCAAAATTTTACCATTTATTTATTTATTTGTTTGTTTGTCTGTTTGTTTATTAATTATATTTATATCCTGCCGATTTTATAAGCAAAATTTTACCTTTTATTTATTTATTTATTTGCTACATTTATATCCTGCCCATCTGGTGCCAGGGTACTACTCTGGGTGGTGAACAACAATTAAAATACCACAACCCATTACAACCCACAAAGACACAGAGAACCAAGGAACATTTAAAAAAACACCCAAGTTATACATTGCCTTGGCCAAAAAGACAGGCCTCATAACAGGAATGCTAAGTGAAAAGTTTAGTTAATAGAACCACTGACTGGGTGTAAGAACAATGCCAGAGCAAACTGCATGACAATACTGTACCGTGGTCTCAGCATCATCCTCTTCATCACTATCAGAACTTTGTTCATCTGGCTTCAAAGTAGCTGTATTCAGCACATTTAAGCCTTCTTCCCATATAAAAGTGCTTGAAACCTTTAACCGTGGAACTTCTTTTCCTTTCTACAAGGAACAAAAAAACTCGGCCAAAAAGACAGGCCTCATAACAGGAATGCTAAGTGAAAAGTTTAGTTAATAGAACCACTGACTGGGTGTAAGAACAATGCCAGAGCAAACTGCATGACAATACTGTACCGTGGTCTCAGCATCATCCTCTTCATCACTATCAGAACTTTGTTCATCTGGCTTCAAAGTAGCTGTATTCAGCACATTTAAGCCTTCTTCCCATATAAAAGTGCTTGAAACCTTTAACCGTGGAACTTCTTTTCCTTTCTACAAGGAACAAAAAAAGTTGCATTTAAATGCAAATATTAATTATCCTACTCAAAAAAAGAAGTACTAACCACCTTCTTTTCTATGGGCTTTCACCTTAGATTTCCTTTCACAGTTTTGTTCGTCTTCCTCCTCACGACAGTAGACCTCAACACCGCTATCATCATCTTCAGTGCCACGAGTTCTCTTTTTTGCTGGCTTTACCTCCTGTTATTGCAGGTCAAAAAATTGGATGCAATAAAATAATATGAATAATAGCATTTTTTTTAAAAAAAAATGGAAGTATTTGAGTTTAGGTATGTGTAAAAGGAGTTACTCAATATAATAATAAGTATTTCCCAGTTTTCAGCTCTATCATGTCCCAAATACTATCAAGGATAGTTACCTGTTCACTTTCAGATTTTCTCCTCTTTTGTTTTCTTGACCTCTTGACCTCCATTTTATCATGCGACAAAATCAGTGACTCTGGGAGAATGCTTTGTTTCCCAGTGTCGTCAGGAAGCACAGACAGCAACACTTGGTTCTCTTCTTTATTTATACTGCTATAATAATAAGTATTTCCCAGTTTTCAGCTCTATCATGTCCCAAATACTATCAAGGATAGTTACCTGTTCACTTTCAGATTTTCTCCTCTTTTGTTTTCTTGACCTCTTGGAGAGTATCTCCATTTTATCATGCGACAAAATCAGTGACTCTGGGAGAATGCTTGGTTTCCCAGTGTCGTCAGGAAGCACAGACAGCAACACTTGGTTCTCTTCTTTATTTATACTGCAAAGTGATTAGAATACAAGTAAAGGAAGGACATGAAGACGATGGTAGAAGAAATAAACAACTGTCATTACACAATGCTTTTTAAAATTTGCGTGCTTTTTAAAATTGCTCAGCCTCACACTACACCCTAAGACAGGCATTACTACTGCCATTTTAGAACATGAGGAACAGACAACAATAAACAAGCATTATCCAAAACATTTGTTCATGGTGCCAGCAATATCCGAGTTTTGGTTGTTTTCCCCCTTAAATTTTACTGTCTCCTTTGTCTCCACTACTTTTGCCAATCTTAATCTTAAACTCAATTTCACTGCTCTCTTAGCAAAACTTGACACCTACCTGATGACCTTGGTAGTGAGGGCCTGACCTCTGTGTATGTGTTTTTCACATAATGAATGATCTGGTACAAATAGAGGGCTGATGTATTGCAATGGGATCCGACCCACAACAGAGTCAGACAATCTGTCAAGAACAGACAGTTCATTATTTACCTTCATATTAAAAGAAAAATCACTACAATTCTGACTGAACTCAGTTCTCCTATGAATCCACAGAAAGCTGCACTCAGTCCACATAAAAGAAATGGAATAGCACAGCCTACGATGCAGTTTGTGTTGAAGCTACATTTACGAAGTTAAAGAGGCTTTTATTTATCTATTCATATATCCTGCTCTTTCACCAAATGGTGCTCAAAGGACTAACAACAATAAAAAGTGGCAAATAAATAATAAACACAATGCAGGTAAAGCATATCAAAAACAAATGAAAAACAAATTAGCAGATAAAGGAGTTATTGTTAGCATTAAGAAAAGCTTGGTCTTTAGCTCTTTTAAGACTGAAATGACCCAAGCGCACCCAATGGACTGGAGGAAAGAGCATGGAAACTACAGAAGACCTTGCAGAATCATAACCTGATTTCATTACTAAGTCAGTTGTGAAAGCTATGCATTCCTTTTCATTTCTTGTTGTACAGCTATAAACTCCAGAAAAAAACTGAGAGCAGAAGAACATTATCTCCATGACACAGGATCAGTCTAGACCAGTAGTTTCCAACCTTGGGCAACACAAGGGTTCTTGAAATTGCAATTCCCAGAAGCCTTCACTACCAGCTATGCTGGCCAGGGTTTCTGAGAGTTGCAGTCAACTCAAATGTTCATCCCTGGTGGGCAGGTTCAACCTCTCTTGCACATGACTCCCCCCCGCTCCCCCCCACACGCAAGATTCCACTGCAATCAGAACCAAAGGGGTTGAACATGATCACTGCGTGAAGGAAGAAGAAAACTACACAGAGGGAGGCTTAAAGGGAACCTTGATTGCAGTCCAATAACACTTGGGTTACCTAAGGTTGGGAACCACAGATCTAGAAGTATGACACTTAAAATCACAATGAAGACATTAATAAAACAAAATGGAATTAACTTTTATGGTCAGCAAGCAAAACATACCCCAAAAAAATGCCTGATGATGTGACGGATTTGACATAGCCTCTGACATGCTGACCTTTCTGCACATCATCAAGTGTTGTGATTTCAGGATCTTCTACTTTACTATTGCTCTTGGGATTTATCCTACAAAAAGATGGAGAAGCAATCAAACACCCCCTTTGTGTGAAGCACAGTAAATCCAAATATTTGAAGAGTATCAAGCAGCAACTATAGCCAAAGCAGCCAAACATTCCTTCAACTGAATATTCAGAAGCCGCTGATCATTGCTGACAATATCCATTTACACTTCGAAATAATAATGAAATTGTAGACTGCTGTTCTCCCAGTTACAAAAAAATGTGTTACAGAAAGCAAGGAATAGACATCTGAATGGTATTACTTGTATCTGTATTATTTGTACAACTGGACAAAAGTGAGCAATTTCAGCAAATGCTCACATATTATTAATTTCTAAAATATACACAAGACCCAAATGTTAAGTTCTCTAAGTACTCATAATCCAAATGTTGGGAAATTTTTGAATATTTGTACAATTGGGTGCTGAATATTTCTAAAAATCTATTTGTAATATACTAGTCTCAGCTTAGAATATTGTTTCTTACCTGGACTGCCGGAGAGACACTTTTATTCTATTATCTTCATTTGAAAGGATATAGCATCTGTATGTAAAAGAAAAATGTAGAATTTTTGAACACTGCCCCTACAGAAATGCTCTGCTTTAAATTATTCCTAACTGAGTTTCAACACACCTAGACAAATTCAGTACATTTTAGATTGGCCTGCTTTAAGACAGCAACCCAAAATTACAGCTGGGCCTGAATTTAGAACACAAATGTTTATCACAGACCACACACAAGGATATTCAACTCCCTTATTGAAGCAGTGGCATTAATTTCCTATCTGTTCCCAGGCAGAATTCAAACGGCTAGTGAATTATCTCAAAAGCCTTAAATGATTTAGAAACAAGACATTGGAAAGAACACCTGCTACATGAATTTGTTTACTCAGAGACCCTCCTATGTCTCCCAACTTCCTCAGAAATAAATATGACTGGGAAAAGGAAGAAAACATTTAGTTTAGTGTAGAAATATACATTTAGATTTAGAATATTCTGGAGGTTTTATTTTAAAGGGCATTTTCTTCATCTCCATACATAGGAGTTTACAAAAGGCTCTTACCTGACAATTTTTCCAATACTGAAGTTTTCTAGTGGCTGCTCAGCATACGAGTCACCAAGGTGGAAAAAGCTGGCTTTGCCAGTCCTTCCAAAGGGAAGTGAAACCTTCAGGCCAACATGAGGTATCACCCTTTTTACACAGCCCAATGTGATGGTTCCTTTCTCCAGGCAATGAACACCTGCTCAGAGGTGGAGAAGTTCAGAACAAGCCAAGTCAGATACTACATGCCACTGTCTCCTATTGTTTAAGATGAGCTTGGTTGTTAAATGGGTTGGATCCTGAATGTCCTAGTACACATTTTCCACATATAGATTTCTTTAGTCCAAGTACAGCACTAGGCACCCTACTGCTTTGGTATAGATGGAAGGAGTGTTTCAAGCTTCTGAAAGCAAAGAGCTAACACAGAGAATGATCCTACACATGGCTATTCGGGAGCAGTTTTCACTGAATTCAGTGAGGTAAATGGGCACAAATCATAGTCCTATTCTCCTTACTTTACATGTCACACTTAATCGTAACATGGTGATCTGGGCACTCCCAGGACCATGGCAATGACTGTGGCAGCATTTAATTTTCGATTTCACAGAATCCTGATTTGTTTTTTGATAAGAACCAGAAGACATGAATTATGAGAAATCTTAGCTTTATAACCAGTAATTTGAAACAAGTGAGCTTCATAATCCACAATTTGAATTTGGTACGCTTTGGGAGTGATCCATGTTTTCTAGGGACCGTGTATGGTTAATTTCCCATGAAATCAATCAACATGCAGTGCTGTCAGTGTCCTCTTGCTGGCCACATGGGAGAGAGAGGAGAGTGCATGAAAGTGTAAGTTTCTCTCTAGGTCAGCGTTTCCCAGCCTTGGGTTACCCCAGTGTTCTTGAACTGCAGTTCCCAGAAGTCTCCACCACCAGCAGTGCTGGTGAGGTTTCTGGGAGTCGCAGTCCAACAACCCCTGGGTTACCCAAGGCTGGGAACCACTGCTGTATTTATTATTTATTTATTTAAAATATTTTTATCCTGCCTTTCTCCTTAAAAAGAATCCGACCAGCTTCAATAAAAAGACAATATTTAAAAGCTAAAAACAGTAGGTATACAAATATTTAAAAAGAATTAAACAAGAATTACATTAATAAATAATAATAAAATCAATACTAAAACACATTTAAAACAACAGAGCACAACAATCTATTTAAAAATCCCTCTCAGACCACCAGTTATTAAGGGAAAGCCTGCCTGAAGAGAAAGGTCTTTGCCTGCTTGCGGGATAACAACAAAGATGGGGTCACCCTAGCTTCTTGTGGGAGGGAGTTTCAGAGTCTGGGCGCAGCAACAAAAAAGGCCCCTTCCTGTGTCCCCAACCAAGCACACCTGTGAGGATGCAGGACTGAGAGAAAGGCCTCCCCAGATGATCTTAGATGCCTGGGCACGTTCAAAGAGGGAGATACAGTTTTTTAGACAGCTTGGACCCAAACTGTTTAGGGCTTTATAGGTTGAAGCCAACACTTAGAACTGGCAGCCAGTGTAGCTGCTGTAACCGGTGTGTGTGTGTGTGGGGGGGTGTCACATGATGCTCTAACCAGCCTCAGTCAGCAATCTGGCTGCTGCGTTTTGGACTCTCTCGAGTGTCTGAACACTTTCCAAAGGCAGCCCCACGTAGAGCGTGTTACAGTAATCTAGTTAAGATGTAACTAAGGCATGTGTCACCATGGCCAGACCTGCCCTCTCAAGAAATGGGTGCAATTGGCACACTAGTTTTAACTGTGCAAGGGCACTCCTGGCCACCTCCAAAACCTTGGCACGTAGGCTCAGAGATGAATCCAGGAACACCCCCAAGTGGTGCACCTGTGTTTTCAGAGGAAGTGTAACCTCATCCAGCACCTTTGATCTGCTTTCTGACTGACGAGGAGCACCTCCATCTTGTCTGGATTACGTTTCAGTTTATTCGCCATCATCCAGTCCATTACTGACATCGGACACTGATTTAGAAAAGAAACAGCTTCCTTGGAGCTGTAGGTGATTCCACCTTGCATACACAATGCTAAGGTATGATTTTGAAAACTGGCCATGGATAGAATCACTATTTCTTATTTCTCTACAACAGTGACATCAGTGATGAGAAAAAAAGCAACTACAGTGGTGCCTCGCACAACGATTGCTTCATACAACGATGAATTCACACAGCGATGGGTTTTTTTGAGGAATTTCCCCCATCGTTTAACGATGTTCTCTATGGGGGAATTTCACTTAACGATGTCCCTTTTTGCTCATTTAAAAGTGTCTTAAAATGTTTGAAACCTGTTTTAAATGCTTGGATTCCATAGTGCACCTTGTGAAACATGTGCAAACTTAATTTGGTTTTGTT